AATTTCCGTTTCGCTGACACAGCTTTAGCAGAAATCTCTCTTTGGTCGTTTTCGTCGACAAAACGAATAGCAATATTGCTCTCCGCGTCTTCCTCCATTTTTTTCTGCCTCAATTCGTGAAGGACGCGTGGCTCTGAGCGTGGGTCATCCACGCGGAACACATTCGCGCTATGTGATTGGCTGTTGTCTAATCCCCCTTGGGATCTGTGGTCTTAAAAATAACTCAAGACGAATTACCTGTGGAATAGAGTGTGTGCGGAGGATGCCTTCTCTGTCCCCTTTATCCTCTCTTGTCAAAATCTATGGTCCTGGCACTGTCTCGACAAGCTCATGCATGTTTAGAATTGAGACCAATGGAGAAACTGATCACCTTCAACATGACTTGTTTGAGGACATTTCATACAAATTCACTCTTGCATAGCGGATTTGTTTCTTATGCATGTACACGATTAACTATGAACACTTGCCTAAGTGGTAAAAAGTTGTACTTTTTACATGGATTCAGTGTTTTATGGTGAATGCCCACACATTCAATAAACATAAGGCGTGATCACTTTAGTAATTCTCATGAACTGCATCCTTAATGACATTATTGTCATTATGTTTGCACTCTACTGTTACAAACAATAGTTGTTAAGTGTGATTATGTACCAACAAAAGTGCAAACACTTTTATAGCTGTAGTTCACCTAACAATATTTTTTTTCTCCAATTACCAGCATTTAGTTGTTGTTTTCACAGCAGCATTATCTCCTAGCATTGCCATCCACTCACTACTCCTGACACATTTCACAAATAACTATTACATGTACACTTAAGGGTGAGCTTTTATTGAGCAAATGCAACTGCATATTAGCCGGCAGTTATCCACTATCACCCCCATTTCCTTTTAACCATAATTACACATGTAGGAGGGTCAAATGGGGTGAACATGGGATGGGACCTATGCAGCATTCGCTAACAACAGCAACCCCATTTAAATCTCAGAAGAGCCTTTTTAAAGTCAGAGCACCAGGTTCAAATTTAATCCACAGGAGATTAAGTACATCTCAGCTTCCAATATTAGACCCGCCCTCCTCAGTTACATGATTTACTTATTTCTCTCCTGTCCTCCCACCCCTTATGGGCTCCCCTCCCCCCGAGCTTCGCGTGGTTCTGCGATACACGTATTTCTAGTTATCAAGTTACCTTTTCTGAATCTAATCGACTAATTGTTTCAGTGATCTGTGCCTGGTTATCCATAAAAGCAATTTCACAAAATAGTCAAAAACACAAACAGTATGAAGCAGAACAACTGAACCACGAGCTGCATACAGAATGAAGCTGAGCGCGCGGGGGAGACTAATATATAGATTTAGCCAGGGCTAAAAGCGAAGCTCTCGATAATATTTATAGTTTGCTCAAACAAAATATAAAATCGTGTAATGCTAAGCGGCGAAGGCATGCAACGCCGGAAAACGGTAAAAAAACAACAATAGGTCTAATTAGCAAAAGCAATTTTGCACGTGCAGCACACTTTTTTTTGTACATTTCTTTGCCATTGTTTTGCACGACTACAACGCGAAACTTCCAGAAACTTCTTAGTTACACGTTTTATTGAGGCATTAGAGAGATTAAGATTCACGTTTACGCCAAACGGCAAACGTGAATTTGTACCACGTGACCAAGTTTTCCTCTTGTTTTTCGTTTACTGTTTATTGCTTCTACGCAAAAATAAGTAGTTTTATGCCAGTTTTGTCCACAAGAATCGTTCTGGACTGTTTTTATCTGCTTATTTTCTATTCTGAGAAATTTTCAACTGACGTTTGCCGTTTGCCGTATGCCGTAAACGTGAATCTTAATCTCTCTAATGTCGTACTTGTTCCCGTTCACTTTTTTCACTGCCGCTCATTTTCACCTTGCATTGGTGGCCGCTAGCATTTCTCATTTTGTCACCGCTACAAAATTTTCATGTTGCTCTTCCAACAAAAAAAATGTCTCCTTCGGTTTTTTATCTCTCGCTCTTAATGCCTCTCACCCGTTTTCTCGTTGAGCTTCGCTTGCCTGCCACCCACTTTCTCTTTTTCTCCGTCTTTCTCTTGCTCTATATTCCAAATTTGTGTACATGACGATTTATCTAAGCTTAATACTTTAGACAACACGGATACAGAAACAATTTTCGCTCTCCGTTTTCGTCTTTATTGACTCTTTTGTTGTCTCTGCTTTACAAGACGCCTGTGGCTATGCGATTTCCAGCCAAAATAACCTCGAGTTGCATTTGGGTTGCCACGCCTGTTGATTGAGTTATTTTACATTGGTATGCCTGTGGGGCGGACGGACGGTCTCTCGGGCGGGCGGTCGGTCGGTCGGTCGCTGCACGGTCACTTGATTACCAAATTTTCTCGGATGGGTAGATTACTTCATTTTCTTACCCATGGTGCTTCGTGCGCGAGAGCTCCGCTATGATCTGACTAACCTGATATCAGGCTCAATAGACCTTTTTACCGATACGGCGGCCATATTGAATTAATTCGATTTAAGGAGTATTATAGGATGTCCATGGGGCATGAGCACATTTCGTTTGTATTTTCGAGCGCTTTTCGGGACATTTTTTCTTAAAGTTTTCTTAGAATAAGATTGTAATGGGAAAAAGATCCTTGTGCCGTGTTTTGATGTAATAATGATCGCCTTTTCCCCGAGAAATATACAGTGAAAGACCATATTTCTAATACTAAACTAGAAAAAGGAGATCTTTATTACATCCAAACACGGCACAAGGATCTTTTTTCCCATTACAATCTTATTCTAAGAAAACTTCAAGAAAAAATGTCCCGAAAAGCGCTCGAAAATGCAAACGAAATGTGCTCATGCCCCCTAGGCATCCTATAATACTCCTTAAATCGAATTAATTCAATATGGCCGCCGTATCGGTAAAAAGGTCCATTTTCGTTTCGCATTGTAATAACATTCCGGCGGGCACGGCGAAACAAAGACAAAGCCTGATACAAACCTTCTACGAAACGTCTTCCGCCCACTTTTTTGATTGATTGACATTTTCCGAATCAGCCAACCAAAATTACTTCCGTTGCTTGTTTTTCTAGTATGCAAATTTTTTATGCGTTGGAAAAATGCAGACTGGGTGACTTAAAAAATAGCTTTTATCTTTTGATTTTTTCGGCTAAAATGAAAACAGTCAGCACAATCACATTTAACTTCTTGCGAGATTAAAGGAAATCTCAAAGGTTATTTCTGTTGGCGTAGAAGATAAAAAGTTTTCGAAAAGACGGCGACACGATGTGCTACTAGTTTTATTATTTTGGCTAGGCGCGCTCGAATTTAAAATACTGAAATTTCTATTTTTCTGTTGCCTTAACATTTTCATGAATCAAAAATATGAATTTTTGAATTTCTATGGCACATATTAAGGCATATTTTCCTACCATAAGACCATAAAACAATAAAAAAGACAGCAAAATCGATCCTTCTCTCCGCCGACGGCGGATCATTCACGAAAACAACCACGCGAGGAATAAGCGCTTTCAACTTCCGGCGTTTCCGACAGCCAATCAAATCTTGCGGCATTGTTCTAACAGCCAATCAGTGTTACGGCCAAAATCTGGCTGTATCGAGCACAAACGTGAGAGAGTTTGTATCAGGCCCAATTTTAGCGGTAGCCGTTAGAGAGAATGTATGAGAACCGCTAAAATCGGGCCTGATCTCAGTTTATGATCTGACGGGAAAGTGTGACTGAAAAAGTGACCGGAAATGCTCAACCTGGCGCATGCGTAGACGTTTTGCCGCGGCGTTTGTCAAGCCAGTTGTTTAATTTGCGCGCGCAGTCGTCAGCTGACGTTCCCGTTCTGTTGCTAAATCCGGCAGCACTAAAACCTAATCACGGAAGCGGAAACGTAATACGGAATCCGTGAAAGAAGGTTCCAAGCGATCGATTTGAAAAAAAAATTGTTAGCAACGACAAAATAATAAATAAACAGATAAGAAAAAGACATAAATGAATAGATTAGGTGAGTAGAGGAGACTGCTAGTACTGCTGCATCAAGGGAGTCGATTCCGGTGAAAAGACTCTTGATACCACTTCTGGCAATGGATGCAAATTCTCATGGGACAGCAAAGCAAGGACAAAAACGTCACTGACAAAAGCTAGTTCCTTAAGAAAAAGGTAAGTTACATGGAGAGAGACTTCGTTTAAATCGACAGAGGCGTCGTTTATATAACTGAAAGGCGTCGCAGTCAATTTCTTCCTGAGTGTCTTTTCTGGGTTGTCTTCAACAGTGTTCAGTTTTATTTATCAAGACAACTTACTCAAGAGAACCATGGCATTGTCGAGTCCAAAGAGAAGAGAGAATTAATTGTGCATACATTTGCTTCATTCCGCAACTGATTACATCAAAACAATGCGCCATGTTTAATAAGCCTCTTCAACAAAAATACGGACGTCAACGTAAACTCAATTACCGGTACACCAGTATTCCATCAGTATTCAGCTTGGCGAAAAAAGTTGAACTTATTGCTAAAACCCCGGATGTGTGGTCACATCAAGGGTCGGTCATGCGTTGAGTATTCAGTTTGGGGACAATCACGTGGTGTGCGCTACAAAGGTAATATTTAACTGTATTATTCAACCCATAAACTCGTGAAAAAAAATTACTCGTAAATTTACTTTCTCGGCCTTCCAGAACAATAACCACACTACGGCAAATCTTATCAAGGCACAATAACAAGAATATGTTTAAGGGAACTGCCAAGAAAACTAAAACACATTATCTTTGGATTGTACTAAATTATGCAATGTGAATTTTTTTAATTTTCTATCATTGATATTTGATTCCGTATTCCGTGTCCGTTTCTGTTTCCGTTTCCATGATTCCGTTTCCGTTTCCGGATTCCCGATTCCCGATTCCCGATTCTATGTTTTAGTGCTGCCGTGCTAAATCAGCCTAATGACGTTTGTGTTCACAACCCAGAAATTTTCCTCCAGTCCTCTCACGGTTCTGAGGGCAAAACATGGCGGACGGGTCTATGGTCTTCTTGCTGCTATCTTTTCTGGCTGTCAGTGTATCTAGTCTGGAAGTATGTACAAAGTTGGACGACTGCTCCTGTAAAAGGAGTAATGGAAAAATAATCAGCTTAAGAAACATCGATGGCAAGTCTGGTCCCAAGTAAGGAGTCTTTAACTTTAAACTGCGAAGTTTGCACTTGTTGAAGCTCGCATTGTACTTCTCTGGATGCCAGAGGTCTTTCGCAAAGCAGCGGCGAGAAGCGTACAAGAGCTGAATCGATCAATCCGTTGCCCCCAAACAGGAAAAAAAAAGACTCTGGCAACCAGGGTAAAGCTACCTTTGTATCGACGTTCCAAGCTTCTTGTCGCAGAAGGAGAATGTGGGTGCGAAACCCTTGGCAAATAAGAACCACCGATTCATTTTTTTTTTTTCAGTATCACATACAATGACCCCAATTTATGTTCCCATGTTTCTTTACTTTTTAATTTGATCTTATCATGATTATTTTATACAATTCTTATGAGCTCAAGCTTAAGCCTTGTATAGGAAGAAATATTGTGTGAGCTACCATACGGTAATCGCCTGATGTCTTGTTACACTTTCAGTTCCCCCTTACATGACGGTCATGGAATTTTCTGAGGGGGGCTTTAAAAGCTATTTAAGAAAACGATAGCTGCATGAACAGCATTTGAATAACCTGCAACCTCCTCTTTTGGAGATGTTTTGGCATAGAGCCCAACATTATTTTCTGTATTGATTATTGCAACCCAAATCATGATGGTCACATCTGTTTCCCAGTGTAAGATTCTCACTAAGTGGCTTTTGAGAAATTTTAGACAATTCGATTAACAGCTTCTTGGGTTAATAGAAACTGTTTAAGACTCAATGTTAAACCATTTTTAATGTTGGCAGATATTGTCAAATGGTACTCCACTACAAAGTTTCTTTTATGTTATCATTAATTCATCACCTTTCTGTGCTTATAGTTCCACTGTTTTTTAAGACTTACTTTTCTCACTGGTCTTGCTGCCTTGAGATAGTGTACCATTCAGACTATCCCCATGTCTTTGTATATTGAGACTTTAGGGTGCAGAGGATCAGCATGAACTAGCCCAAAAGTCATTTTGACTGCTAAGCCTCCACCCCCTCCCTGCCCCCCCACCCCCCCGAAAAAAAAAAATTAAAGAAGCACTACTCGCAACCACTACCAGCCCACTTTTGAAGGGTTGGACAAGCAACTCAAAGATATGAGAGTTTGGCGCAGTCATCAGGAGCCAATTTAATAAAACTCTCACAAGTGTAATGTTGACAAGTGTGTCCATTGTTCTAGGGTCGTACGACAGTAGCTATGCTAATTTTGTAAATTTATTACAGGGCTTGAAACAATTGGCGGTCAATGGACAATGTCCGGACTGATTGGAGAGTTGACTGCAGTCAACTTTTCGTCTTGCAGGGCATGCACATTGTATTGAAAAAAAAAATAAACAAATTTCTACACTATTCAGTTGTTTCAGTTGTTATCAGTATGTAGCAAGTCACTGTGTGTTGTGGAACATTGATCTGAAATCCTGCAGGGTGAAATGCAACTAGAACCATTGTTTACAATTCACGCATTGCAACAGACATTCGGATTCACACACTTCCAGTCACAAAATTGAAAATATTTTCACTTTTGTTAGTTCATTTTCTCCATGAATACAAATTTTCTTCCCTCGTAATGACGAGACACATGGATTACTGGCGGAGTTATAAGATCAAGATCTCACACCTCAATACATACTCCAGAAATCATAATATTTGGAGGCACCGGACAAATTTAATGTGTACAATAATTTATTTTTATTATTGGCAATAAGTGCTTTGAAGTACTATAAGCTCTAAGCAAAGACTTTTTTGGAAATATATAACACCAGTTTTGATTGATGGGCCCCTGTTTTAAGAGTTATTTATGTTATCAATTTGACCGCCCAGAAATCATACATGACCAAGCTAAAATGAATTTGGCTGGACCTCATGTCCAGAGACTCTCCAGAAATTATTTCAAGCCTTGTTATTACACTTGGAATAGTTAGAACCAGTCTATCTTTGCAAAAAGGATGCAATGGGATGTGCTTCTGATACAAAGCTTTTGGAACCTTTGCGCCAGATAGACCAATCCAGGATTTAACTTTCTCGTAATTTTTGCACCTGCAATTTCTTGTGTCCCTGCATTTAAAATTTTAAATTTTTAAGTGCTAGTAACTTAGCAGGTGACATTTTCACCCTGCTGAAGGTAGCAGTGCTGGAATCCTGGGCTTTGGGATGTAGGATACTGCTCAAAGAACTGACAATTGAAATCCAGAATCCAAGATCCACTGACAAAAAATCCACAATCCAGTACAGTCAAACCCCACGTTTACTGATACCCACTAAAGACGGACACCTCATTATTATGGACAGTTTACTTTGTTCTTGGGGAAAGAAAGCCCTTGTTTTTTCTCTGAATTGAAACCCCTTAATACAGACATCTGGTTAATACAGACACCTTCTTTGTTCCCCTCAGTGTCCATTTTAATGAGGGTTTGATTTTACCGGCCTGGAATCCAGAATCTTACACTGTCTTGGATCACGTTATATGGGGCCAAACGGTAGCTGTGCCTTAAAAAAAGAGAACCTTCTGTTTCAAATGGCAATACCCTGTAAATTTGCAAAATTTTGTATAAAATGTGTCATTTTTTGACCAGGTAGAACTTACAAAGAGGTATAATATATCTTTCATGTTGCTGTTGTTGTTGTTTTTTTCTTCTTTAGATTTACTGGGATAAAACAAAACTCTAAACCATTTACCTTCACCTGGAATCCATGTACTAAGTTTTCGATTCCCAGTGACTGCAATGATGTCTTGGTGAGTTTGTGCTACTGCTATTATGCTTTAAATGTGAACTGTATTTTTATTGTGAGTGCTGAATTGAAAGAAACCCTCTGAAATTCAATTTTTAGAGTTTTCTTACTTCTCATCAGCATCACGATAAATTTCACTTCATCCAAGTACAGTGTGAAGTGATGTTTTTTTCTAGGCGCATTCATAGGCCTCATTTATATAGTGAAAAATTGCCTCGGGTCGAAGGGTCAACCACCTACTTAAGCTACCCTGGGCAAGCCAACATTCCATACATTTCCTTATAAAATGTGGCGATCTATTTACAATTTAGACATAAATAGTTGCCTCAGCTAGAAGCAGGTCACCGTTCTGTAATGGTGGGGTTATCCTCGTAGCCGGGCTAACTTTTCTCCACATATAAACACTTAAATTATTTGGCTCACCTAACCGCAGCGTCAACTCAGTCAAGGCGAGACAATCGAAGCATATGCGAGTGCTACATTGTCTTGAGCCAAGGGGTCAACTTTTTTCTTATGTAAAATGTAAACACTAGCTAAAGTTGACTCAGGTAGAGGGGTCATCTTTTTCTCATATATAACCGTTCACTCAAGGTGACTCAGCTGGTATGTGACCCCTCTACCTTGGACACGTTTTCTCAATATAAACAGGCCTTGGTACTTTTATACGCTTAATTTTTGCACTGTTTTATTATGCTTACAACCTGATATATAATGGTAAACGAACTAAGTGGAGTGCAATTTGTATACTGAAATCATACATGTGATTTCAAAATCACAAGTATGATTTCAAACCAAAATTGCACAACACGAAGTTCAATTACCATTTTATTACAGCCATTTTGAAATCGCAGAATTCAGTCAGTACTAATAATATATTTGACCAAGTTGCCGGTTTGTTGAAAAGCGGGAGCAAAATTAAAAAGGATTTTACATCTACAGTGTGATTCCTGAATAAATTACACTGCTAAGAGCCAATCAGATTGCAGGGATCACCAGTGATTTCAAAATGGGTATAGTACTTAATTTCAAAAACCCTTCTCTGCATAACTCATTTGAAGCCTAGTAAAATACAATTGAACCTCTCCACAAAGGCCACCTTGGGGACAAAAGAAAGTGGCCATTGTGCAGAGGTGGCCATTATATGGAGAGGTAGGGGTGTTACATGACAATTTTTTGAGGGAGTACAACATGTTTTTTGTGCTAAGTTCATGCTTCCTGTCTCCCATAATCACAGGTAATCCAATCACTATTTAACGTATAGAGATAAGATACANCTTGAGCCAAGGGGTCAACTTTTTTCTCATGTAAAATGTAAACACTAGCTAAAGTTGACTCAGGTAGAGGGGTCATCTTTTTCTCATATATAACCGTTCACTCAAGGTGACTCAGCTGGTATGTGACCCCTCTACCTTGGACACGTTTTCTCAATATAAACAGGCCTTGGTACTTTGATTCGCTTAATTTTTGCACTGTTTTATTATGCTTACAACCTGATATATAATGGTAAATGAACTAAGTGGAGTGCAATTTGTATACTGAAATCATACATGTGATTTCAAAATCACAAGTATGATTTCAAACCAAAATTGCACAACACGAAGTTCAATTACCATTTTATTACAGCCATTTTGAAATCGCAGAATTCAGTCAGTACTAATAATATATTTGACCAAGTTGCCGGTTTGTTGAAAAGCGGGAGCAAAATTAAAAAGGATTTTACATCTACAGTGTGATTCCTGAATAAATTACACTGCTAAGAGCCAATCAGATTGCAGGGATCACCAGTGATTTCAAAATGGGTATAGTACTTAATTTCAAAAACCCTTCTCTGCATAACTCATTTGAAGCCTAGTAAAATACAATTGAACCTCTCCACAAAGGCCACCTTGGGGACAAAAGAAAGTGGCCATTGTGCAGAGGTGGCCATTATATGGAGAGGTAGGGGTGTTACATGACAATTTTTTGAGGGAGTACAACATGTTTTTTGTGCTAAGTTCATGCTTCCTGTCTCCCATAATCACAGGTAATCCAATCACTATTTAACGTATAGAGATAAGATACACCAAAACCTTGAATTATGACTTGAATCACAATGTCACAATGTTAACTGACACAACGAGCAAGGTTCGCAACATTCACTATTGTATACAATTTTTGCTCACTGCAGCAGTAAAAATAAAGTAAAATCAAAGTACCATTGCCGCAATTGGTCATAAACATGCCAATTCGTGACCTTTCTTGACTATTTCATCAGTCACTGAAAAAAACTGGCCATTGTCGAGAGGTTGTTTTGGCAGTTTGGGACATACGTTAGTGGCCGTTGCTGTTTTAGAAAGGTGGCCGTTGTGGAGAGGTTTAAATAAGGTAAATGTGTGGACTGTCCTCCCTGACAAAATAAAGTGGCCGTTGTTGAGAGGTGACCATTATGGAAAGGTGGCCGTTGTGAAGAGGTGACCATTGTGGAGAGGTGACCGTTGTGGAGAGGTGACCGTTGTAGAGAGGTCACCGTTGTGAAGAGGTGGCCGTTGTGAAGAGGTGACCGTTGTGGAGAGGTGACCATTGTAGAGAGGTTGCCATTGTAGAGAGGTGGCCATTATGGAGAGGTGACCATTCTGGAGAGGTGGCTGTTGTAGAGAGGTGGCCGTTGTGGAGAGGTAACCGTTGTGGAGAGGTGGCCATTGTAGAGAGGTGACCATTGTAGAGAGGTGGCTGTTGTAGAGAGGTGGCCGTTGTGGAGAGGTGGCTGTTGTAGAGAGGTGGCCGTTGTGGAGAGGTGACTGTTGTAGAGAGGTGGCCGTTGTGGAGAGGTGGCCGTTGTGGAGAGGTGACCGTTGTGGAGAGGTGGCTGTTGTAGAGAGGTGACTGTTGTAGAGAGGTGGCCGTTGTGGAGAGGTGACCGTTGTGGAGAGGTGACTGTTGTGGAGAGGTGACCGTTGTGGAGAGGTGGCCATTGTGGAGAGGTGACCATTGTGGAGAGGTGGCCATTGTGGAGAGGTGACCGTTGTAGAGAGGTGACCGTTGTAGAGAGGTCACCGTTGTGGAGAGGTGGCCGTTGTGAAGAGGTGACCGTTGTGGAGAGGTGACCATTGTAGAGAGGTTGCCATTGTAGAGAGGTGGCCATTATGGAGAGGTGACCATTCTGGAGAGGTGGCTGTTGTAGAGAGGTGGCCGTTGTGGAGAGGTAACCGTTGTGGAGAGGTGGCCATTGTAGAGAGGTGACCATTGTAGAGAGGTGGCTGTTGTAGAGAGGTGGCCGTTGTGGAGAGGTGGCTGTTGTAGAGAGGTGGCCGTTGTGGAGAGGTGACTGTTGTAGAGAGGTGGCCGTTGTGGAGAGGTGGCCGTTGTGGAGAAGTGACCGTTGTGGAGAGGTGGCTGTTGTAGAGAGGTGACTGTTGTAGAGAGGTGGCCGTTGTGGAGAGGTGACCGTTGTGGAGAGGTGACTGTTGTGGAGAGGTGACCGTTGTGGAGAGGTGGCCATTGTGGATAGGTGACCATTGTGGAGAGGTGGCCGTTGTGGAGAGGTGACCGTTGTAGAGAGGTGACCGTTGTAGAGAGGTCACCGTTGTGGAGAGGTGACCGTTGTGGAGAGGTGACCGTTGTGGAGAGGTGACTGTTGTAGAGAGGTGGCCCTTGTAGAGAGGTGGCCGTTGTGGAGAGGTGACTGTTGTAGAGAGGTGGCCGTTGTAGAGAGGTGACCGTTGTAGAGAGGTGACCGTTGTAGAGAGGTGACTGTTGTAGAGAGGTGACCGTTGTAGAGAGGTGACTGTTGTAGAGAGGTGACCGTTGTAGAGAGGTGACTGTTGTAGAGAGGTGACTGTTGTAGAGAGGTGACTGTTGTAGAGAGGTGACCGTTGTAGAGAGGTGACCGGTAGTAAAGGTTCAACTGAAGTTTGAAATTGACGTGAAAAAAGAACGGTTTATTTCAGCACACAACTGACAATGAATTGTCCGCATTAGCGAGGTGGAATTTTCCGTGTTGATTGAGATTAAACAATTGCAAGTGCCGGTGTCCGCATTAACGGATGTCCGTATTAAGCCGGTTGAATTTAGAGAAAATGGAAGGGTTTTTTTTCCCCGGGGACAAAGCAAACTGTCAGCATAATTAAAGCGTGTGTCTATAAAACGGGGTTTGACTGTAGAGTTTGATTGGCTGCTGTAACACTTAAGTTTATTATCGAGCCCTGATATTATGAGAAAGCAAAATTTGAGTCGAGGCTCCTTTAACAGTACACAATACGACCATATCAGACAACTGAAGTTGCAAATTTCTGCTTATATATGTTGTTTTTTTATCCTTGTATAGCTATGTCAACGTGGGAGTGGCGGCCTGGACTATCCTGTGGCAAAAACAGCAGATTCCTTCTCAATAGTAGAGGGTAATATTATTCTGGTCTATGAAGAAGTCACTGGTTCCGACAACAACCATAGGTAAAACACAGCAAACTCGTACACAAGAAGAAGTGCAAAATAACATGGTGGTGAAATGTTCCTTAACATTATAATTATTAAGTCAATTATTGATCTTGGCGGAGTTTTGCTGTGGGAGCTTAAGGAACGACGATGGCGAAGTCAACAAAAACAGCCAAAAGGAGTTGGTCTAGACAAGCAAAACAACAACTTTGCATGTGCATCACACTTTTTTGTAATTTCTTTTCCGTCACTCCACGACTACTACATGTACGTGAAAATGCCTAATTTCATGATTTGTCACAAGACAACGACTTTCTGTTTCTTTTCCACAACTTCGATGCAGTCTTTCAGAATTCAGCCAGGGTGTCCAGTTCCCGTTGTTTTTTCCTATTTTTTCCTATTTTTTGAGCCTATTCCTATTTTCTCCTATTTTTAAACTAAAACCTCCTATTTTTCCTATTTTTTAGCTGGTGAAGCCAAAATTTGTAACAAAATCGAAAATGGGATTATAGTTGTATGTGTTTTTGAGTGAGATTTATCATAAAGCTAGTAGTATTTTGACTTTGATGTTCTAATATTAGCAAAAGTAATGGTTACATTATTTTGTTCTTTCCATGACCTCTATTGCCTATTAGAGTTCTGTTAACAACTTTGTTATATTGTTGCTTTTTGTAT